AACACCTGTAAAACGAAAACGGGAAAAGATATCGTCAAAAAATTGTTTTATAATCTACAATTTCTTGCGTATAATCTGAGAAAGTTTCATTTATATTCGAGACAGGGCTCGTGATCTTTTACGGGTTTTTCAATTTTCTCAATTTTAAAGGCTTTTGAATATAAAATAGCCTTTATATATATTGAAGGTATATTTACTTTGTTATTTATTTTTTTTTTTTATTTTCTTCATCTAAAGAGTTTAAAGAAAGTTTAGTGAGGCTTGTCGAGTAAATATACACCATTTCAATGAGTGTGAGATAAAAACCCCAGTTTTGTAAAAGGAAATTTATTTTAGAAGACTGTCCTTCATTGAAGGTTTAATCTTAGAAAAGGTTTGGTAAATGTAACTTCAGAAAAGTTTAATGTCACATATCATTGTAGCAAAGTGTGAGCTGAGAAAAAAAAAATCACCCTTGTGAAATTATAGTTCCTTATCTCATATCTTTGTTTCTCATATCTTTGTTTAGTATTGCACGAAACAAATGTTTAAACTACATACAACCTGGGACCAGCTTATCATTAACTTTTTTTAAAAAAAAGCCCTGCACTTTGAAATTTTCACTTTAAATGAGACATATATTCTTATGGTATAAAAAACTGAATGCTTAGGGTTTAGCAGTCCTAAATATACGTGAGGTTGAGTAAATCTGACCATTTGCAAATTATTAATTTTTATGTTTAAATACGATAGGACTGTCTCAGAAAAACGCGAATCATTTCGTAAACTAAATGACCGATATATTTCATTTTAAGCACAATGATCGCAAATTTTAACATAAAACTATATTGTGATTTTATAATTTAATGTAAATCAGTTGAATCTGATTCGTCTAGAAACATTTGGTAAAAATCAATATAACATTTCGAATGATGAAGCCATGCCCTTTAGCGTGGCAACAGTCAACATTGCTTGGCGACGGGTGATGTTCTCAAAAATATTGAATTCGCAGAATTTATGTTCCAGAGGATTACTGTTATATCCATTTGTATAAAATATTCTGTATGAAATAATGAATATTGCATGAAGTTGAGTTTAACTTTGGACATTTTCACTCCAGGAAAATCATTGTCAATCGAAAAGCAGCAGTTGTGTCTTAACTTTTGATCAAGCCAAACTATATTTTGATAAATTTAATTTCCTTTTCCAGAATTAATTTAAGATTTTGAATTTTTCACAGAATTATCAATATTTTAGCCAAAAGAAATAAAAAAAAGAAATACTCAGGAAGGAATATTAACAAGGTATTGGCTGAGAAAAACCATTTTTCGTTTGAATAATAGACTTCCACAAAGTTATATGAAACATAAAATCTTTTATTTTTAAGAAATAATACTGCAAACGAACCCTGTAACACTAGTAATATATTTGATTTTACGTAAGCCCTATATATTTTGTATATACATGTATAGTGATAACGTAAAATCAAATAATTATAATAATACATGTGCCGGACAATGTGGATTTATAAAGGATAAAAAAAAAACATTCACACACAATCGCAACATAGTTCATAAGCAAATTCTTTTTCGATAGTAAATATCCTTTTAATCTGTCTTATCAAAATGTTCGTTCATCTCGACGTATTTAACGAAGTTGGTTATAACTACTCAAAAATATATTTTCCAAATGAATCTGAACAAAATGCTTAACTCACAAAATATCGTCAGATCTGTGCATTGTTACATGCACGGACCATATATAGGAATACCCATCATTTACTTTTTTTTTTGTCCCTTGCTATGATTTAATTTTTTTTTGAATATTCCTTTATCTAACCAAAATGAAAACATATTGCATAACATAATAAGTGTGATAGAAAAATGTATATTTTTTCAATAATATATAACATCCTGTACTTACTTGATCATGGTGAAGAATCATTTTAAAATGCTCAAAGTAAAAATAGTCGCGATGTTTTTCCTCGGTGACTAAATTGACATACTTGTCCTGAGCTTCGTATCCAAAGGAATTGAGAGATTTATCCGGGTTGAGAAGTAGGCAAGTCGGTGTTTTTAAGGATGCCAAAGTAGTTGATCCAGCAAACCATGTTTGTGGATTTTGAATATTATTTGGAGAATCCCGAAAAGAGAAAGCGTATCCGCTTTATATTGTTCCGAAATCCATCGCAGCAACAATAAGCCAGTCACTCATAATTTTCATTGCCATAATGCGTTTTCACTAGTTCATAGATTCAACGAATTGTTATCTATGGTTACCTACTTTCGTTTTAGATGGTGTTTCCATATTTTGTTTAAGAAATTCACATGACCTAACGCATAAATCTCCCTTTTAAAATATATAGTAAGATAGATATGCTGAGTTTGTTCTATAAATTGAATTATTATATAGTTAAAAAGGATTATTTTAACAACCACTTCCCTTTTGTAGCATTGTTTTGTTTATTGCATGAATTTATAAAATAAACATTAAAATACTGATTTAAATCAGCTTAACGTTGATATTATATATCTTGTAGTGGCAGGTGTGCAAAAATAACCTTAATGTTTAACACAAATAAGGTAACGATCTGTCTTATAAATACCTGAAATAATCAAATAATTAATATCAAATACAAAATCATATTGTATTATTAATGTTGCTTTATTCGCAAGGCCTACAATGAAACACCTACACAAGATGGGAAGCATTGCTTGGAGTGAATTGAATACGTATGTGTTTTAACTGGTATTTAAAATTTACCTGACCTGGTTTATAGCGATCAATAATTCATCTTTTATTAAATGTTCTAAGTTCAATAAAACCCAGAAAGAAATTTAATCAGGATTACTCATATAATCAGAGAGAGAGAGAGAGAGAGAGAGAGACTGCCCGTCTGAGCAGAATGTATGCGTTCTTGTTTCAATGGTTCAATTAAGCATTGAATAATTGTTTTTCAATGCTTTTCTCCTCTCACTACTGGGAAAATTTGTGGATATAAATAATTATTTTTGAATGATGTAGTCTCAGAATTGTAACAGTGTGCGTAAACAAAATAATTCATTTTGTTTGCGCACACCGTTATGAGACTTCATCTTTCAAAGATAACGATTCAATGCTTATATTTAATTTTTTTTAACTCATTGTCTTGTCTGCAAATGTAATTTATATTTCAAAATCCCTGTATTAATCTTTATGGGAGTATAGAGTTAGCGAAAGATCAATTCAAACAGGTATTACCGTAGGGTAATAATCTTCAATCTCAGCGTGAAGTTTTTGGAGGGCCTTCAAAGTTTCTGACGTCAAAATAAAAATCCTAACGTAACCTTTGATTTCCCCATTCGTGTTATGGTGTACTGAATGCCGACTTTTTCCACACATTTTATAAGCAAAATACACATGGAATGTAAATATTCTTAATGTTTTTGTATATTAAAAACATTCGGTATAAAATAATAAATATTGCACAAAGTTAAGGATTTAACATCGAAAAATTTTCTCCCGTCGAAAACCAATGTTAACCTTGACTGCCTCTTGATTGAAAAAGGATTTTTTAGGGGTGGGGGTGGGGTGGGGGTGAACAATTTCAATGTTACCCTACACGACATGCAATATTTATATAATATTGTCAATAAATTTACAATCACACCATCTTATTCCTGGTTTAAAATAATTAAACCTTGTTAAATAAAAAAAAATATTTATGAATATTAACAAACGATACTGTACAGCAGGAAATTAACTCACGAACTTAATATTCGCAGAAATAAATTTAGCGAATTCAAGATACAGTGAATAATTCTTCAAAAATTGATAAGATAAATAAAAACCGATATCTGTGATTAAATTCGTTAACTCTATTTGTGTTTCCTTGCAAACACAGAATGTAGTAATTAATAAAGCGGAGATGTAGATTGTCTTCCTAATTATGTGGGTGTACGGATCAATCACTAACACGTAGTTGTTGTTTTTTTTTTTTTTTTTTTTTTTTTTTTTTTTTTTTTTTTTTTATATATATATATATATAGCTAAATTGATAAATAAACATCTATAACTAACATCAGAGACATATAAAAACCAGAGATTCGCAACTCTACGAAGTCTCGCGTAATCTCGCGGGGCCTATTGTTTAGATATTTTCAATTCTCTGACCGAGCGAGATTTAAGACGGAGGCTATCGACGATGTAAACAAAAACTTTTAATTCATGTTTTGGCTTAAAATGAAGATTAACAGATCTCATTATTGTTTCTATTACTAAAAAAATATATTTCATCTTTTGAGTACCCAACTCGTGTTTGCTTTACGCTTTAAATTGTCTCGAAACTAGTATTAGCGTTAGGCATTTTCTTCCCGTGATAATTAGTCTAACAAATGCAATTAAGTCGCCAGTGTATTTTTACAAACACACTAGTTCATCGGGAAATGGTATTTTCCTTTGAGGTCAGCATTAGAACCGATATTTAAGGTATGTGTGGATAATTTTTGATAATTATGAGACATTAATAGCTGCACACAAAATACACTGTAAACCAATATGAAATTATTTGCATTTCGAATTCAACATGGCTAAGCCCGATTTTCTTTCTTGGGATTGCGATATAGATCTTGAAGCATTACTTGGGGAATACACAGAAGATGACAACCCAGAATTACACCAGAAAAAGCCAAGAAAAGACGTTCCGTCAGAAGGTTTTCAATGCCCTGTTTGCAGTCGGGTTCTTGAAAACCATTGCTGGTTTCCGTGGGCATGTCACTAAACAGTATGATAAACCACACCTTAAAGGTAACAAGTCATAAATATTATATTAAAATAATGTATATAATTTGTTTAAATATATCTTTTATATATAAATATTAACTGCAGAGACATTTATACCACTCTGATCAGAGATCTTAATTAGCAAAATGTATACAGAATCTGTAAACGGTGAAATAACAAATGAATGATTATTATTTTTTTAATTCTGTTTCAGCTCATCAGCACAAGTTGAAGAAAAGTGCCTCCATGGACAGTCCCATTATAAGGAGCAACCCCTTAGATGCTCACACCATTGAAGACATTTTTCAGCCAGAATTCCACATGACCCTCGAGAACATGGCCAAGGATCCTATGCACCAGTTATTTGGGGACAGTGAAGTTACCAAACTGTGTCGTGTAGTTATGTGCCTATCAGGAGTTCATAAGTTTTTTCTGGACATTTTTACTGACATTTTTTCTGTGGGAAAAACTCTGTGCAGCACCTTAGACAGAGAGTACATGTTCCAGAAATTCCACCAGACCAGAGTGAGTGATGATTTCATTAGGGGCTACATGCTCTTATTTGCTACTTTAACTTTTACTGGCCAAGCTACATGTATATGTGACTTTTTGAACATTCTAATGATGGAGCTCATTGGGAACCTCATCAGTGAACAAGTAAAGAGGGGACTGAAAAATGCAGTGGCGGAACAAGAAAGGATTTCAGACAGTGATCAGTGCATTTTATTTTACATTTGTGGTTTCAATGTTCGTTCCCTGAGGAAACGTTACCTAAAAGTTAAAAGCGTGTGTCCCCAGAAGCAACAGTGCTAGGACAAACTTGTGATCAAGTCACCGAACTCAACCTTTGTGAGCCAGTTTACCACATGGACAGCAAAGAATAATCGTGGTGGCCTCCTAAACCCATGTGACGAGTTCTTCCTTCTTATTCGAGAATTTGAGACCCTTATCAGACAACAAGTAGACTTGAAGAACTTATCTGCCAACTCACTGTTATGTGACAAGTTAAAGGAGGGTGTACTTGAATCGTTCATGGTGAAACATTATTGTGAGAAACTCTTTGGTGAAATGGAAGAACACATCAAGGACATGATGCTGGAGGACATTCTCAGCCTTTTTCATACAATTCGAGGATATTCAATTACCCGGTTTCAACGTCAGTAGATTGCTAAGAACACAGTGCCAAAGAAAAAAGTCATCTGGACTCCGCCGTATCTTGAATGACATAAACTCTTAAGTTTTTAACTGTCTGCTTTATCTTGTAAATAATGTACATTCTCATGGAAGCATTATTTTTTTTTACTTTCAAGTTTTAAACAGAAGATCAGTTATCACTTCAGTTAAAATATTGAAATTTCCAAAACAAAAACAAAAAAAAAAAATTAACATTTATTTTTGACAGAAAATAAAAAATAATGCTTTACCATTGTAAATGTGAATATATGAACCAGAAAAAGAAGAAGAATAAACAATGCCCAAGTTTATTTTCAAAGGGAACATTCAAGACATGTTTTTAGTCTAGTGCTATTCTTCACTTGTTCTACTGACATGCTTTACAAATATCTTGTTGAATGTTTATACAGGAGTCTTAGTGCTTTTCTTGTTCTATTTACAGTACATATCATTACTGATTGAATGTTGCAATATAGAATAAAACTGTTGAATGCTGATATTGGTAATAAATTTTCAAAACAGTATACTTTCTTCTCATTACAACAGTCAGCTATGAATACAGTCAAGGAAAATGTTTCATCTCATTACAAAAATCAGTTATGAAACCATACAGTCAAGGAAACTGTCAATAATGGAAAAGACAAATTTGATGTTAACAGAACTATAAATAATTGTGGCAAGGCCAAACAAGTCAAACAAACTGGAGAATATTTGTGGATTTAAAAAGTATGTAAAGAATCAGCCACACAAAATTAGAATATATTATTTTCTATCAAGGATGCGATAGTGGAATGGGGAAAAACAGGTAAATAAGACATGTACAATATCAAGATTGGTTAAATTGTGGCTTGTTTGAAGTAGGATTGACATTTGCATTAAACTCAAAAGCATTACTTGACACAACAGTTTGATTTTATAAAGAGAGTGTTACACTTAATTTTTACAGTAAGATTGGAGAGCATTAAATTGGGCTCAAATAAATTGGGCTGAAATTTGTCCACTACATGTGCATTTTCTTCACAATCACTTTTTTTCTCTTTGATAAGGGTTGATTGTTAATGACAGGAACGTTTTCATCATTCAAACGAGTAATGTTCCCTCTTTTGGGAGCCAGCGCTTGAGTTCTGGTGGCTAATAGCTGTGTCATGGTATTTCGAACATCATACACTGTAGGATTTTGATTACATCCTCCTCTATGTCTAAGATGACCAAAATACTGCCCCAAAGGGTCTTGGTTGAAGCTATGTGTTAGCACAAAGTCAGCACCCTCTTCCAGCATAAATTCTATGCACTTGGTAATGGATTTGACAGATATTTCGAGTCCTGTTTTTGTGTGGTGACTTACTTGCATGACTGCCTTTTGTGCTGCTGTAAGGTTCCTGTCTCTGGTCTCCACATTCCTCTCCCACTCCTTAATATAGCCCAGGAAGTCATTCCTAAGCCAACTGATCCTTGGGTCATCCACACCTCTGTATGGGTTAATGTCCGGATTTCTTTTGTTCCTCCCCTCCATTAAATGTCGGACATTTAGACAGTCAAAGAACTTGTTAAAGATTCTGATGAATTTCACAGTTTCTGACACTTCCTGTCCATAATATTCTTTTAGGGCATTGGAAACTGTTCCACAGAGTACCTGCGCAGCTAAACTGACTTTCATGCAGGAGTAAGCTGTAAGGTCCACGTGTGCTCGTGTTAGCTTAGGACAGGGCGTATACAGGCTTTGTTCACACTGCTCCTCAAACAGTCTAACAACATGCATCCATGAGATGTCTTTCCCATCCTTCCATAACTGTCTCGTCTTCTTGTGGGAGAATGAGTTGCTGAAGCAGTTCCTTGTTGTTTTCAGCAAGTGAGGAACATCAGAAATGAAATATATGGCCCTTGTGTTGCTATGGGGGTTAAGAGTAGAATAAACTGTCTCATTATATCCATCAAGCCTCTGGAGACTGAAAAATTTTCTATTGGCTTACGCTCCATCACAGGTGAAAAAAAGCACCTTTAGTCCTACATTTACTTCTACTATTGAAACAGCTTTCCATATAATTGGGTACAGGTAATCTGCTGTGATGCTATTAGTTGCAAAGCCAGCCAATGGAAATTTCAAGGAAGTGGCAATGCCTCTGACCATGATGACGAGCATACATTTGGCCAGCTCAGATGAGGAATTCGTTGTTGTCTTCTCCAGTTCAAGTAACTGGTTACCCACAGCATCTAGATTGCAATATCCAATAACTTCTCCGGTGTGCTTGTCATATACTAGATCCTCCTTGATTTTAATTTCGTCAAATAATATACCGGTGTAGCACTTGAAAGATTGATCTTCCATCATTCCCAGCTTTTTGGCTTCTTCACATATCACTTTCACAACATCGGGCTGAAATCCCAGAGCACTTTTGGTATAATGTGAATATGCAAACAGAGCTCTAGCACTTGGTAACTTTATAAAGCCTGTGTCCCTCATGGAGTTGTATGCTTCAGCACTTTTACTTCGAATGTATAAGCACCATCTGATGATCATGGGGTGCAAACGCATTCCATTTTTACCAGCATTGGCATATTTGTGTTGTTGGTCCCAAAAAAGTCTCTGGAAACAATTCTCGTCATGAAATGTTCTTTCTACATCCTCTCTACAGGAAGCCATTAAGTCTTTCATTTCGCTGCCTTCAAAAGTTTCAAGTTTGATGCCTTTGTTCTTTATTTCTTTGTCACACACTTTCTTCAGTCTGTCCACTTCGCTTGACAATGACTTTATTTCTTCCCTTTGCTGCTTGATTTTGGTGATCAAAGTTTCCCTGCTCATCACCTTGTGTGCCATTCTGCTGTGAACCAAGTTCTTCTCCTGGGTATTAGCACGTCTTTCTTCCTCTCTTAATCTTCTCTGCCTTAGAATTCGTCGAATTTCTTGACATGGCTTGCATTTGTTTCCTTCTACCATCAAAGTGCAGTTTACTGATCGAATGCATGAGCTATAGGATACATCTCCCTTGGTGGCACAAAAATCCCCCTCTTTGTATGCAATGATATCTTCAGTGATTCCACTGCTGACACCACAGTCGACTGGTGTAATGCTTTGAAAGTCTTCATCTGGATTCCCGAAACACACAGAGAAAGTACTTAGTCTTCTCATCAGGTCCTTAACCAATGCTGCTGATGTAAACTCAGTAGGCATTCCATTCCAGCAAGGGTGGGTCAGTGGAACTTCCTTTCTGTGTACAAACAAAACTGCATGAAACTCTGCATCAATAACAACTGAAAGTTTCACACCTGATTTACCTGGTGAACTGTGGTACATTTCCATGATCTTTACAGTGTCAGTTCCCAAGTTTACAACATAGTTTGTGTTAAGGAAATCACATGCTTGCAGGTCCTGGCAGAGGATTTGGAAAGGTGACAGTACAGTTTCTACTTCTATGGTCTGTTCAGATAGTGGAACATAAATATCCTCAGACACGTCAGAGTCCATACTTTCATCACTCGTCTGCAAATTCGATCTCGTAATGGTATACCAGTCTTCAATTTCATCACACCTTTCCATTTCTTCCAGTTCACTTGGAGCACTATACCGATGTTCCATAGGGGGGCCATTTATCACCTGGCAAACATCATCTTTAATCAGTTCCTGTTTCTTCTTTCCACCATATTTCCTTTTCTGACACACAGAAGCTCTTTTTTTTTCTTTGGCATTCTAAAATAAAGAAAAAAGTTTTTTCACATAATACTTAAAACAAGTATTATAAAATAGTTATGCACCCACTTCAGTCAGAGTTTGACACAAACATTAGTCTTTTAGTCTCAGACTAATACATTTTCATTTGGACTAATACAATCTGTAGCTAATTAGTCTGAATGGACCAATAAAAGTTTACGGAAAACAAAATGATGTTAGATTCTAAAGAGCTTTTACTGGAAAACCCTGCATATGTTTTAGCTTTCTAACTTCTCGGCAAGTAGTCTAGTACCCAAGGCCTTCAGATGCTACTTGATGGGTAGTTAGCTAATTCAGAGTCAATTCAGCACTTAATTTTACAACTTTTTGATATTAAGTTGAACGTTTTTTCGATCATACTTTACTATCTGATTCTGTGGAATATAACACTGCACGTAAATGCTTTGTTTAATTTCAAAAAAGTATAAAAAGTACATTGTCATGTTTATTTTTTATATATTAATCATTTCAAAACATTGATGTTTCCCTTTTTGACAGACTCTTAAAATTGAGCGCGGACTAGTACAAGTGTCAGAAAGAAGCACTAGTCCGGCCGGACTAAAGCCTAAAAATGTTAGTGTCTAACCCTGTTTAGTGTTCTCCAGTTTTCAAGAATTGTTTTATATTAATACAATTAATTTAAAATTGATTTCAACATACAAAGATATATTTACAATGTATTTTTTTTTTTAAATTTCATTTTATTTTTGGGGTCTATTTATGTTGTTCAGGACCAGTTCTTCTTCTCAGTTCTTAAGGGATATTGATAACACTTGCTTGATCAGAAATGCTCTAACAGAAATAACAAGTGCAGTTAACCCTTTTGAACTTATCAATTAATCATTAACTGGATGCATGTCCACCAATTACTCCAAAGGAGTGAATGGAATTACACTTTCTGCTGTGTGAGTCTGCATTTTAGTATAATATATTTGCAGATTTGTGTCCTTAAGTACTGTTAAAAATAAAGTTGGTACTTTTTAAAGTGTTAATGCTTAATTCACATTTAACTAGGTATACCAACTGGCAATTTCTTGATTGTAAGTTTCAAATCTACATGATCCAAAAATTTACCATGTTTACTAAAACTAGTAAAAAAAATAGTAAAATGAAGAGCAAGTATACAAATAATACAACAATGATTGAAAATACCAGATGCACATCTTTATAATGTACAATCTTTAAACAAATCCATGTCCGGACAAAATCATGTCTACCGACAGACGTACATGCAGATTCCAACATACACCCATACACAGGCATAACAAAGCATTCGATTTGTTATGATTTTGAAATATTTATT